TATGAGCGCCTTAAATTGCTAGGACGAAAATCTGTAGACGAAGAATTTAAGAAATAGCACAAGCTTCGTTGAAGGTTGGAGTTTGCTGCATGCGAACACCATGGGATGCCAATCTTATGAGAGGACAGAAATTAGGAATAATGGGGAACACTGCAGTGTGACAGGTTCAGTATTTATTCAAGTCAGTGAGATATATTTGAGAGATTTGGACCCTGCTGGCTGGAGATCTGCCTCACATTACGTCACCGGGCGGTAAGTAATTCCCTGTCCCCTGTCGCAACGGAGACCCCACAAAATGGAAACCCAAGGCACAATCAATTACACGTCGCTTTTCAAGTGTGGGCGTTTTATTGTGCTTATTTACGTTTAAAAGCAGTTTTTATTTTCCATTCAAACTTCCGACTAGTTCTGATGGAACACAAAAGGAATTCATACACGTCACCTTTATAGCACAAGAGACAGAGCTAATGTGTCTGTAACCCCTTTTCAGCCTTTGTTCTGTTACTTCAGTTGAGTGGAAAAGTGTGCTACGTAGACGGTAGCTTTAATTAGCAGGAAAGGGGTCTCTTTGGCAATCAAGAGAAGCTCAGACGGTGGCCCGGGTTCGAGCCCAGGTCAGGTCATGTGGGATTTGTGGTGGACAAAGTGGTATTGAGGCGTGTTTTCTCAGAGTACTTTCGATTCCCCTGCCAATTCTCATTCCACTGATTGCTCCACATTCATTATTATCTATCAACCGGGGCTGGTACAATAGGGCAAACAGTGACCGCAGTACCAGGTGGACTCGGTCTCACTCCAACCCCAAGAAAAAAAAAATATATTTCTGAGATATAATGAGGTGCAGTGCGTTGAAATTCTATCGACGTTTTCTAGGAACATGGCATCTCCACTTCTCTGAGTATAAACCCAGCAAGAAAAAATTGCTTCAAGCAGAGGGCAAGCAGAGCGAGCCCCGGAGGCCAGTTTAGTTTCAGCGGACTGTGGTCTAATGGTCAGAGTTCCTGGCTACAAATCCAGAGGTCCGGGTTCGATTCCCGGCTCTACTAGATTTTTTCTGAGAAGTAGTGGGTCTGGATCGGGGTCCACTCAGCCTCGTGATGATAATTGAGGAGCTATTTCAAGGAAACAGTGGCTCTGGTCTAGAAATCCGAAGTTAACGGCCGTGGGAATTCGTTGCGCTGACGACGCGACACTCTCTATCGGCTAAAGTTGGCACTAACTTCTCCGACAAGCGGCGGTCGCTCGGTCGGTATAGTTTGCTTGAGGACTACAGGTCACAGAGTTTTTACACATCGTTATATCCAATGTGACGACAATTCTTCATAATAAGCGCTGTGAAAAGCTCACATCCTGCAAGATGTATAATATTTACCTTGAAGAAAATATGGGACAAACGTCTCGGCTGGAATCAATTGGCTTAGAATACGGCCCAGTGCGGACTTCCACATTAGCGATTCTGGAACTTAGGGTTTTGTTGTTACAAAGTTACCAAAATAGAAAATAAAGTTTCGTTACGGTCCTTTTTCTTTTTACTGTACCCGTTACTCTCCATCTGTTTCCTGATTCTTTGATACCGTGGCTGAAATTAACATCCCTGGCAAGGTGAACAGCTTATTACTTACTTACTTACTTACTCATGGAGCTGTGCCCTTCTGGAGGAGCCGCCAATTCTGCAGCTACTCAAGAATTTCCCAGCATTTTATGGAACCCGAAGGTTCATTACCGTTTTCACAAAAGCCTACCACTGGTTCCTATCCCGAGCCAGATAAATCCAATCAACACTATCCCATCCTCTCTCTCTAAGATCCATTTTAATATTTTCTATCCACATACGCCTTGGTCTTCCCAGTGGTCTCCTTCCTTCTGGCTTTTCCACCAATATCCTATACTCATACCTTGTCTCCCCCATTCGTGCTACATGTCCTGCCCAGCTCATTCTCCTGACTTTATCATTCTAATTGTACTTGGAGAAGAGTACAAGTTATGAAGCTCCTCATTATGCAGTTTTCTCCAACCTCCTGTCACTTCATCTCTCTTCGGTCCAAATATTCTCCTCAACACCCTGTTCTCAAACGCCCTCAGTCTATGTTCCTCCCACAATGTCAGAGACCAAGTTGAACAGCTTATTATTATACAAAATTTTCTTGTATATAGAAGCAAATAATATGACACGTCCCAGTAACCTGTCATGTTTGGTCATGTTTCTCTGAATTTTTAACTCAATAAACACAGGCTTACATATTACCATTGATATGGAGTGTCCCTGTGGACGGCTTTTGGATTGATAAATCGATTTATTGGTCTGTTTGTTAAAGCGCGTGACCACACTTTACAATTCACTATTACACACACACATACACACACTAGTATCCACAATGAAGCCTTCAGTTGCCGTTGCCTGGTAGCGGTTTCAAATGGTGGATATTCCTGTTCCTCTGAGTTGCCGAAATGTTCCCCGGTCTCAGCTAGCAGCTGCTAACAGCAACAGCTACCAACGATTGAAACCCAGGGCTTATGTAACTAACTGCATCTGCTAACTGATCCTGGTTGTTACATCTCGGTACTAAAAGCTCAGAAAAAACCGTTCCATTATTACTGTGAAATTGTTGTCGTGGAAAGGTATTTGTTTGTAAAGCCGTTACTTAGCAGAGTTTGTTATATAGCTTCTTTTTTCGCGGTGGGTGCCTAGCAACATATCTACATGCCACAGTATTAACGCCAAGTTGTAGAACACAGTTCACCTGTAAAGTCCTTGGCCCGTCAGTTAGGCGCCGCGTGAGTTGATGGCCCGTAATATCCAGGACACTAGAAATGTAACATAGAATACAGCCTTCGTGACGAAACTCCACCTTTTGTCATCTTCTTAAGCGTCACATGAAGACGTATGGGGGAGGGGGTATATCTCCACGCATTCCTAACCTCGGCACTACAAGGTATGGAGGCGAATGGTGAGATTCACTTCCCTGTCGCTTTGCCTCCGGAAGAAAGAGGTTTTGTAACACCCACTGGATTGGAGGCCGAGTGGGCTCCTGTCCGTGGCTGTGGAAATGAGAACAATCTCCTACCCCTACCGGGGATGTAATCCCAGTATTGCGGTTGTCCGTCCCCTAGCCGAGGCGGTAGGCCACCTGAGAAATCCAGGTTCTTGCACTGATTATTTTACATTGAACTTTCTGTGGCTTCATCAGTTTTGTTTATGAGATTATTCAACGCTGATTACAGATGAAAGCATAAAATCGCCAAAGCAAACTAGCTATTGTATGTGCACTTGTTCTGCCATCGGTACCAATAGCTGAATCACGTTTATTGGAAACTGACAAAGCATCTTCCAGAAGACATCCTGCGGATTTCTTGGAATAGAATCAACTTATGATTGCGTAAGATTTGAGGTTTTCACGGCGGTGACTATGAAGAAAGCAGTCTTCTGGGATGTGGTACAGCATAGATGTAATGTTAACCGACGTTTCGGAGGAACGTATCGCATCCATCTTCAGGGTAGAAGGAAAAATAAGAAATCCGCGAGCGAAGGGACCGTGAGAACCGGTACAAGCAGACTGGTCTATCCGAAACTTGAGGCAAGGAATGATCATTACTACTTCTGTGCAGGACGTTTCGTCTCACAATTTAATGGTGTTATTCCCGAGGTTATCCTGAGTGAAGAAATGTTATATCACCTTGGGGTCACAGTGCTTTCGGAGCTGTGGATAGGCAAAGTAAAGCTGATATGATGACATCACGTTTATTTAAACAAGAATTAAACTTCCTTTTCGCAAGTGATTATATACGCCATGAACTTTTTATTCCTGCAAACGAAAGTACAAAGTGTCCGCTTCTCATGATGTACATGAGTTAAACACTTTCGTGGTTGCTACGGGGCGGAACGCAGAGTCGTACCGGCGCCATAAATCGTACCTCAGCCTCCTTGACTTCAATGTGTGGGAGCACATGAACAATCTTGTGTATATATACTGCCACTTTTAAGGGGTTTGAGCGGCGAATATATCGAGTTCTGGATCGGATGATTGGATTTATTGGCACTTCTTTACAATTACAACCGATTAGAACGTTAATAGTCCATAGCTCCGGTAAGACTCGCTCCACCCCCTACTGGACTAGGAATGTCTTCCCTTCTGCTGTGACTGACTTGGTTCTGATTTACGAATCGGTCACTTTTTAAGCTTCCATTGTCCGCTGGTTTACACTCCACATTACGGATGACTCGTTCTTCTCTGCACGTCTGCTAATATAGTCCAGCGTGTATCTATGGAAATCGTTGATTGCTTGACCGTATTCGTGGAAGCCTTGGTAGAATCTTCGTTGACACGAAATTTGCTTATCGAACCTCTGCCCAGCAATGGATTTTTTTTTCGTGTCTATTCGTTGCAGCGGGAACGTGCTTTGGGCGAGCTTTTGGTTAGCAATGGACATCCGCTCTGGCTCCACTAATCCGGCTTTCAGGCGTCATATAATATACAGCAATTTCGTGCCTTTTCTTGTTACAATAAACAATTTGAGAATAGCAGTGATGTTGGTACGAGTTATCTCCTGAGGTTATGGTACATTGTCTTGAAACAGTATGTGTTTACCGAGCCTGGTGTTCGTGGGGTTAAATGTTCCTGTATCGTAACGTGGAGATCCCGGATTCAAATCTCCGCCGGGTGACTAAGTGTTTTCATTGGTTCTGGAGACACTCGAGAATATTTCGGGCTACCATTTCAAATTAGACCCTCCTACTTCTTGCCAGGTAATTTCCACGTCATTACTCACTTATCTTACCCATCGTCCCGTACAATTCGAGATGTTTGCGGTTTCGTAGAACAGAATGTCTTCGTTTACTTATTGCAAGCTACTCAAATAGCTAAATATGTCCGACTAGTGGAAGTTCATGAGAGTTTTTACTGTGATACGTATGTGTTGTAGCAAAGTTACAATAATGTTAATAAACGGATCCTAGGTCTAGATTCCTTCACTGACATTTCTATATTTTGTCTTCTCGTCAGGAGCTGCCAAGCTGTCTGCGTGCGTGTGTTTGGTGTTGCGGACTAGCGACGGCAGTGGAAGTATTGCTGTTGGGAGATGAGTCCTCCTCCTGTGTTCTTTGGGAGAATGCGCAGACGAGCACGAGGAAAATATTCAGAGCAGGAGTGTGGATAAGCAGTCTCTACCGCAGCGGGAGGTAATGTAGTTTAAAATATTCACTGAATTCTCCTCACTAAAGTGGTCCCCCCTACATCCATCACTTAGCAGAGGCTGTAAAGTCACGGGGCAGAACATGACCCATACCACAAGCGAGCGCCGAGGTAGAGTTACACGTGTAAGCGGCATTTAGAAACAAGGCACAGTTTGTGTCCAGTTATGATGAACTTGAGCTCAACCGTTTGATGTGGTCCACTTGGACTTGTTGGAATGTGTTGATTAAATTTAGCTGGCTCGTACCTACAGCCACAGAATCACAGCAGAATGGAGGAAGTTTGAAGCTGTGAAGAACAAAACCATGCTACCAACCTGCTGCCTTTGTTAACACCATCCATGTTATATTAGAACGCTCCTGCCATATGTGAACAGCAAACGACTAAACTTTGGTGTCAGTACAAGGATCGAGAGAGTTTCCGTAGCGGCAAGAACCTATATTCGCGCATAGGAGGAACTCGGATAGAATCTCGGCCGTGACAGCAGCTACTTTGACTGTGCCTTTTCGTGGTCTTTCCCAGTACCTCCAGACAAATGCATGGACAGTACCTCGAATAGATCACTACATACACATAACAAATGTTTAAACAGCAGATTGAAACGTAAATTTGGGTGCACGCGGTAGCGTAATTGATTGAGGCACTATGCTACAAGCCGGAAGGTCGCGGGTTCCATTCCCGATGAAGTCATTGAATTTTTCAATTGACCTAATCCTTCCAGCCACACACAATTTGTTGGAAGTTGAGTATATGAGAAGCTCGATGCTTCAAATACATAGATCTTTTCCTAGAGGACTCTGGTTTTAACTTCTGACTTATACGGGTAAGAACCTGCATCACTCCGGCTAAGTTCAAAATTATACAGACTTAAACGTTTGTTTGTATCAGTCCGAGTTCCTTAACTTAACAGACTGAAATGCAGCTGACAAATAATTAAAGAGTGGGTACAATATTAAAACGAATTTTATAGTTAAGATTCATGATTTATTTAAACCGTCTTGCAGTGCATACACTCATTTATCTCCTTCTCTTCCTTGCACTACATGTTTCGGCATAATAATGCCATCTTCAGGTGCTTACTTATCCACGCCAAACCAGTTCATTGCATGCCTTGTTCTCATATTAAAATAACCAAAATATGTATCTATCATATACATTGTCAAACGTTAAACAGAACAAAAGCACAACACATACAAGACAGTGAAGGAGTGCTCCAACAGAGGAGAATGGGCGTGACTGGCGTAGTGAGGTGCGACGTAGCGATGTGGTATCCTGAACAATTTTAATATTTTTAACGTTTGACAATGTATATGATAGATACATATTTTGGTTATTTTAATATGAGAACAAGGCATGCAATGAACTGGTTTGGCGTGGATAAGTAAGCACCTGAAGATGGCATTGTTATGCCGAAACATGTAGTGCAAGGAAGAGAAGGAGATAAATGAGTGTATGCACTGCAAGACGGTTTAAATAAATCATGGACTTAAATCAGTGCAACAGGACGCTAAAATATAACAATAGTTAAGATTATTTGCAGGCCAACCAGTGTACCTGCAATTTCGGTTTTTTATAAATAATAACTATTAAGTGCAGACTGTCGTCTTGGTATGTCAGTAGTGTGTAGCATCAGTGTACTTTCTGCCTGCCGGAGCAAGGCCTATTAAGACTGCGGGATAAGATGCCTGACCTACTGAATCCTGAGCAAAGCCAGATATCTCCATCCAACACTTATACAAGTTGCACCACCTCTAATTGTAAGCACCCTACTCTGTCCTTCTTTTAAAGCTATCCCTGTAACAGGCCATGAAGGCCCATAGGGTTGTGAGACGTTGAGGCTCCTACATTTTCTAGACAGGCAGTTCACAGATGGCGGTGAGGTTGTCAGCCTTACACGCCGGCCGCACTTACCCCCAGGAAGATTCAAAGTACTCATTTCTGTTAGAGGCTGAGTCGAACCCAGGGCCATAGTGCGGCTGGAAGGATTAAGTAAATTGAAAAAGTCCACCTCATCGAGACTCGAACCCGCGACCTTCCGGCTTGTAGTATAGTGCCTCAACTAACTACGCTACCGTGTACCCCCCTACTCTGTGCTTACTGGCACCCAATATCAGCCCTTTACCTTCCTAACGTAGAGTCACACAGCAACAAAGTGTAAACACAAACGGAGGCGACTTATGGGCGAGGGAGCAGTTAGCGGCCCACAGAAGTTCTACTGCCGTTGGAGCGTAACATGGCGCCTTCCATACATCGAACTCAGCTGTCCGAAGGGAGAGTTCAGCTATATAAGAGATGTCGCTAATGGCGGCGCTGTAAGATAACCTTGAAGTAGAAGTCTATAACAATCTTATAAAATTATAATTCACTTTACACTGCTAATTATTTACACTTGATCAAAGCAAGGAGGATGAAGTGGGCACAGTATGTAGCACGAATGGGGGAGACGAGGAATGCTTATAGGAGATTGGTGGGAAAGCCAGAAGGAAAGAGACCACTGGGAAGATCAGGGAGTAGGTGGAGGACAATATTAAAATGGGTCTTAGAGAGGTAGGATGGGATGGTATGAGTTGGATTGATCTGGCTCAGGATAGGAACAAGTTGATGGCTCTTATGAACACGGTAAAAACATTCGGGAAATTCTTGAGTACCTGCAGAATTGGCGGCTCCTCATGAAGGGCTCTGCTTCATAAGTAAGTAAGTAAATAAATTATTTACACTACTTGCACAACGAACAATTGTACATCATTTATTCAGCTACACTCCAAACCCGCATTTGTTCCCTTTCTGACTAATAGGCCATATAGTATTTACCCAGATGAAATGGACATTTTATTCCCTGTCAGCTTCACCAGGAAAAACTTCCGCATGTATTTCTCTCAGTTATTTAACCAGAACCGGGATTAGCTAACTATGGCAAGCGAAAAAACAATCCGACCCGGGGCCACGTTCAATATCGTTAGAAACGTGGCCCTATTTGTTTGCTCCCTTTTCTCCCATCCCCGGACCGGGAGAAGTAATAGCACCGCAGCAAATCACAAATAAACATAAATACATTGACGATATTGCACGTTATGTTTCTCATACCAGGCTGAAAGTAAGCCTCATTTAATAATCACAATCACTTATACCATCTGCAATTAATATTAAAAATTTGTTATGTATGCCTCCAAATTCTGTTAAGGATATACCTTAGTGTCCTCAGGACATTATTCAGAGTTCAGAATATCTTGTCGATATATTTTTTTTT